CACTAATAAAAGACAAAGATGCTAATTGACCATACCTTCGCTATGCCTTAAGCCACGCCCACCAGCCAATCAGAGAGACTATATGCACATAACCCAGCCAAGATGGCGGCCGGCAGCCACAGAGCTGGAGCAAGCAGGAGGCTTGGTTGCCCGGGTGATGGAGGAAGCCAAGCTTTCCCCCCTGCTCTGAGCCGGCTGTGGCCTCCGCTCATGGCAACAAAGTTTCAATTATAGAAGACAAATAAATCCCAGATACCTGCTTCCAGCCAGCCTCCACTGGGAGCTTGGGTGGTTGGGGGATTGTGGCCAGCCTGCAAACAGTCATCAGCCCCTCACCCAGGATGGCCACACCCTCATGGGGTGAGGGTCCCCGCTGGGGGGCTTGGCCAGCCTGAAAACGGCCCTCAGCCCCTCACTCAGGATGGCCAGGCACCTCAGCAGGACCCCCCACCCTGAAGGGGCTGTGGCCAGCCTGCAAACGACCCTCAGCCCCTCACCCAGGATGGCCAGGCACCCCAGTGGGGACCCCCACACTGAAGGAGCTATTGCCAGCCTGCAAACAGCCATTAGCCCCTCACCCAGGCTGGCCATGCACCCCAGGGGGGACCCCCACCCTGGAGGGGCTGTGGCCAGCCTGCAAACAGCCATCAGCCCCTCACCCAGGCTGGCCAGGCACTCCTATATAATAAAAGGGTAATATGCAAACTGACCCTAACAGCAGAACGACTGGGAATGATTGGTCACTATGACACACACTGACCACCAGGGGGCAGATGCTCAATGCAGGAGCTGCCCCCTGGTGGTCAGTGTACTCCGACAGGGGGAGTTCTGCTCAGCCACAAGCCAGGCTAACGGCTGCCAGTACAGCAGTGGTGGCGGGAGCCTCTCCCGCCTCCTCAGCAGCTCTAAGGATGTCCAACTGCAGTTTAGGCCTGTTCCCCGCTGGCAAGTGGACATCCCCCGAGGGCTCCTGGGCTGCCAGAGGGATGTCTGACAGCCAGCTTAAGCCCAATCCCCCAGGGAGCGGGCCTAAGCCAGCAGGTGGTCATCCCCTGAGGGGTCCCAGACTGCAAGAGGGCACAGGCCAGGCTGAGGGACCCCCCCCCAAGTGCACAAATTTTTGTGCACTGGGCCTCTAGTCTATATATATAAAAGCCTAATACGCAAAGTGTCCCCTCAGGAGTTCTACCGACCAGGAGTTTGATCGCGCGCTATGACGTGCGCTGACCACCAGGCGGCGGTGTGGAACAAAGGAAGGTTCTGGCTGGCAGCTGGCAGCCACTAGGTACCCTACCTGTGCAGGAATTTCATGCACTGAGCTTCTAGTACTCTATATTAATGGATAAGGTAGTCCATAAATTCTCTATAAGAAATCCTTAATTTTGTATTTTCATTTTGATGATATAGAAAAAAGAGTAATAAATGAATATTTGAGATAATCTAAATGAGCACTTTATAAATATTGACAACTGGGGAGTTAAAATGATAGAGATTTGTTTGTACCAAGCAAAGGCCAAATGATATCACAAAACCATATATATTTGAAAGTTTTTTGTCTCCCTAATAGAATAGGTTTCTCAACCTCAACACTGCTGATTGACATTTTGGGCCAGGTAATTCTTGGTTGCAAGGAACTTTTTTGTGCATTGTAGGATGTTTAACAGCACCCTTGGCCTCCACCACTAGATTACAGTAACCCTGTTCCCCTAGTTGTGATAATAAAGAATGTCTCCAGACATTGCCAAGTATCCCCTGGGGGACAAAATCTCCCACTGCAGTAGGAAAAGTGGTGAGAGAACTGAGTCAAACCAAAGTGCACAGGAGAATAAACAGGTCAAATTCAAATGAACCAGAACTGTAGCAATCTCTACTTCTCTCAAGTTGAAAGAAATATCACTAAAACATTATCATCCATCATATTAATGTTGTCAATGTGAATTTTATTAGTTCTACATTTAATTGTAAATCCATTTGTTTAGCTTTTGCTTTGATGGATTTCCCCCTTAAAAGGCAAGTGTACACATTATTCAAATTTGAATTACATTTTTCCTGGTTTATTCTTTTATAATTAAAACTTTACTCAAGAGACTTCTCATCGATTAAAATGTAACTTTTCTAAATGTCCACTTGGTCCCTAATGTTTCTTCTGGAATGTTTTTAACTAATCACAGAGACTACTTAATTGAAGAAATTCTCAAGAGCCCAAAAAGGTAAGTATATAATTAGGCATAAAATGTCTTTCTTAAATCCATAAAAAATAACCCCAAAGTCTGAATTATATATACACTGAAAAGCTGCAAAAGTTACTAAGTATTATTCACTGTTGCATTCTTCTTTCTTGGCAGATCATTCTTTAAAGGAGTAAGGCAACTGCCGATATATCTTGTCCATATAGAGGGTGAGTAAAAGTAGGTTTACAGTTGTTCATATGGGAAATAATAATTCCGTCTAATAAAAGAGTAATATGCAAATTAACCATCACTCTGTCACTCCGTCACAAAGATGGCGGCAGCCACGGAGCTGGAGCAAGCAGCAGGCTTGGGTTGCCCCCGGAGATGGAGGAAGCCAAGTTTTCCGCCTGCCCTGGCCGGCAATGGGCTCTGCTCAAGGCTACAAAGTTTCAATTATAAAAGATAAATAAATCCCAGAAAAAAAGAAAAAAAAAAAAAAAGGAGAGGCTGGGAGCTTTGGTCGCGGGTGTGTGTGTGTGTGTGTGTGTGTGTGTGTGTGACCTGCCTGAAAACGTCCATCAGCCCCTCACCCAGGCTGGCCAGGTACTCCAGCGGGACCCCCACCCTGATCCGGGACACCCTTCAGGGCAAACCAGCCAGCCCCCACCCGTGCACCAGGCCTCTATCCTATATAATAAAAAGGTAATATGCAAACTGACCCTAACAGCAGAACGATTGGGAATGACTGGTCACTATGACACACACTGACCACCAGGGGGCAGATGCTCAATGCAGGAGCTGCCCCCTGGTGGTCAGTGTACTCCCACAGGGAGAGCTCTGCTCAGTCACAAGCCAGGCTGATGGCTGCCAGCCCGGTGATGGTGGCAGGAGCCTCTCCAGCCTCCTCAGCAGCACTAAGGATGTCCAAATGCAGCTTAGGCCTGCTCCCCGCTGGCAAGTGGACATCCCCGAGGGCTCCCGGGCTGCCAGAGGGATGTCTGACTGCCAGCCTAAGCCAGCAGGTGGACATCCCCCGAGGGGTCCCAGACTGCGAGAGGGCACAGGCTGGGCTGAGGGACCGCCCCCCCCCCCCCCGCAGTGCACAAATTTCTGTGCACCGGGCCTCTAGTTAATAAATAATAACACAAGAATAAATTCTGGCTCTAGCTGGTTTGGCTCAATGGATGGAGTGTCGGTCTGCAGACTGAAGTGTCCCAGGTTTGATTCCAGCCAAGGGCACATGCCTAGGTTGTGGGCTTGATCCCCTGTGGGGGGCGTGCAGGAGGCAGCCAATTAATGATTCTCATCACTGATGTTTCTATCTCTCTCTCCCTTCCTCTCTGAAATCAATAAAATATATATTTTTTTAAAAAATAATAAATTCTGTGTTTTGCACACTCACAATTATAAACCCACTTTTACCACATCCTGTCTATGTTCTCTCAATTTCTCTTCTTCAAATCAGGCAGAGCTAACAATATATTAAAATAATGTCCAAACGTGTATAAAATGTTGAATATCTGTCTTAAATAAAAGTCTATCAGTAAAAGAATCTTAAATTGGTTAGGTGTGGTTAAATGTGGAAGAGACTGTTGCATAAAGTATAATACTTCAACCAGCTTGAAAAGTATCCCTGTGGTAGTAAAAGTAAAGCTTAGTCAAAGCCTGCCTTTTAGCTGTGCTCTGAAATCTTTGGTTGGTTGAAAAATAAAGCAAAGGTTAAAAAAATGTTGGTTTAACAGGTTCAGCTTACAAGAGCATTCCAGTAAAGCCCATAAATCTTACAAACTTAACAAATACAACTATGTACCCCCCCAAAACTGAACAAGTTATGCTAAAGTCACCCAAGATCAAATGGCTCACAATTCTTTAATAAGCCAGAACTGTGCTGTAGATATAACGATTAATTTCCTCCTTCTAAAATCCCCCGGGAGTATTGCTGCCTTCTTTATGCCAGTAATTCATTAGGTACTGTCCCCTCCCCCCCCCCCGCCCCGCTAAATAAATTTTTAAAAAAAGATTGCAAAGAAAGTGTAATTCATTTTTCAGCAAGCTTTTCAACATGTAGCATCAGTTTTTTTCTTTTGTTTGTTTTTTGGTTAATCCTCACCCGAGGTTATTTTTCCATTGATTTTTAGAGAGTTTGGAAAGAAGTGGGAGAGACAGAGAGAGAGAAACATCGACTGAGAGAGACACATCAATTGGTTGCCTCCTGCAGAGGCCCAGACCAGGGCTGGGGACTGAGCCCACAACCGAGGTACGTGTGGCCCTTGAACAGAATCAAACCCATGATCTTTCAGTCAGAGGGCCGACGCTCTATCCACTGAGACAAACCGCCTAGGAGCAGCATCAGTTTTTTGTTAAAGATAGCATCTAATATTATTTTTCTTCTCAAGATTTATCTACCTTCCAAGAGTATAACAAAATGACTTACTGATAGGAAAGAGTAGCTAATAAAGCAAGAACTCTTCTATACAGAAGATGAAACAACCAGCCTGGGATAATTGTTCAAAGTTTCACAAATTCATAAAGAGGGAGAAAGAAAAGCTCCCAGCAATCCTTAGTTGAATTACCAAATCAAATACAAATTTAGAAACTACTCAAACCAAAAATTTTATGCAAGATTTATGAAGTTCTTCACTCTACATAAGTTGGAAGGGGGAGGTCTATGTCAGGACTTCTGTCATGGAAAAAAAAGTCAGATGACTTCATATAAAAACTGGCAGATACAAGAAACCATAGTCTCCAAGTTTTTTGGGTCCACTCAAAATTCAATTGTTATAACAATAAAGTATCTTTTTCTTTTGTTAGCAAATAACTATTCCTCACCTGCTTGTGTGCATGATCATAGGAATTGATATGGTTGTCAAACTCCTGATGTTTCTGATATTGCTTATCACAGAGTTCACAGTAAAAGTTGGCTCTGAGGTCTTCCAACGCTTTAGCAATTGCCTTCTCTTTGTCAACATAATCCTGTAAGAACCACAAAACATAAACAAAAAATGAACTTGGTAGAATTTTAAAGTGAATGTTGTAAAGTAGTAGTCTTACCTGAAGAGAAAAAAAGGGTTTTTCATAAATTTAGTGGTACAAGTAAAAGCTGAATGAAACATAAGTTGGTGGGGTAATTTGTGTGTGGTTGTACTAACAGTTGTCTTCAAATAATCAAACATTCAAATGAGTTTACTGTGGCATCCCCTATTCTTAGCCCTGGCTCAAAAAAACCAACCAATCGCTCTAGCCAATTTGGCTCAGTGGATAGAGCGTCAGCCTGAGGACAGAAGGGTCCCAGGTTCGATTCCGGTCAAGGGCACATGCCTGGGTTGTGGGCTCGATCCCCAGTAGGAGGCAGCCTATCAACGATTCTCTTGCATCATTGATGTTTCTCTCTCTCTCTCCTTCTCCCTTCCTCTCTGAAATCAATAAAAATATATTTCAAAAACTAAAAATCAACCAATCAGATATAACAAACAATTTTTATTGCATTGAAGGAAACATAGAAAAGTAAATCCCCGAGAAGGGCAATGGAAGAAGAAAAACAACAAAGCAAAACAAAAAAATCAACTATGACCTTAAGCTGAAATCAGAGCTGTGATAGCCAAGGGCTCTCCTTAGGACAATGGCTGACAGGGGCACTTGGGGTCTTAGTAAGGTGGGGGAGCTAAACATGAGAAGCCTCATGTAATAAGCAAAAGAACCTACAAGAGGGCTGGAGAGGTCCCAGGATCTGAGTCTTGGCAGAGAGAATCAAAACTACTCTCAGAGCCCTGGCCAGTTTAGCTCAGTTGGTTGCAGTGTCAGTTTGTACACCAAAAGGTCATGGGTTCAATTCCTGGTTGGGGCACATACCCAGGTTTTGGGTTTGATCCCAGGTTGGGGTGTGTATGGGAGGCAACTGTCTCTTTCTCCCTCCCGCTCACTTCCTCTCTCCCTAAAATCAATAAAAACATATCCTTGGGTGAGGATTTACTTTATTTACACACACACACACACACACACACACACACACCTCACACGAGGATATTTTTCCATTTTTTTAAAATATATTTTTTATTGATTTTTTACAGAGAGGAAGGGAGAGGGATAGAGAGTTTGAAACATCGATGAGAGAGAAACATCGATCAGCTGCCTCCTGCACACTCCCCACTGGGGATATGCCCGCAACCAAGGTACATGCCCTTGACCGGAATCGAACCTGGGACCCCTGAGTCCGCAGGCTGAAGCTCTATCCACTGAGCCAAACCAGTTAGGGCAGTTGTTTTTTTTAATATACCTTTATTGATTTCGGAGAGGAAGGGAGAGAGAGATAGAAACATCAATGATGAGAGAGAACCATTGATCGTCTGCCTTCTGCATGCAGCCCGCAACCCAGGCATGTGCCCCTGACTGGAATCAAACCTGGGACCCTTAAGTCTGCAGGCTGACTTTCTATCCACTGAGCCAAACCAGCTAGGGCTCCATTGTGTGTGTGTGTGTGTGTGTGTGTGTGTGTGTGTGTGTTTAAAGAAAGAGTGGAAGGGAGGGGGAGAGACAAAGAGACAAACATCGATGAAGAGAGAGAATCACTGATTGGCTGCCTTCTGCATGCCTCCTACTGGGGACCTAGCCCACAACCCAGGCAAGTGCCCTGACTGGGAATCAAACCATGGTCTCCTGGTTCATAGGTCAATCCTCAATCTAGCCGGGCACCAAACCAGTTTTTGTATGATAACCTTAGCTAAACCTGCTTCTTATTTACAAATTTACCTATTTTATGGTAGAGATTGGGCATACTAGAACATCTTGAAAAACATGTTTCCTGGTCAGTCTTTTTGAAGGCTAAATTATAACATGTTCTAAGATGCAGTTTTCTTATAAGTTAGTCCCTTAAAAAGAAAAATACTGAATGAAGTTCTCAATCTGTTTGCTACTCTTAAAACATCTCACCCATTAAAAAAGAAAAGGCTCTTGCCGAACTGGTTTGGCTCAGTGGATAGAGCGTCGGCCTGCAGACTGAAGGGTCCCAGGTTCGATTCCGTCAAGGGCATGTACCTTGGTTGCGGGCACATCCCCAGTGGGGGGCGTGCAAGAGGCAGCTGATCGATCTCTCTCATCGATGTTTCTGGCTCTCTGTCCCTCTCCCTTCTTCTCTGTGAAAAATCAATAAAATATTTAAAAAAAAAAAATAAAAAAAAAAATAAAAAAGAAAAGGCTCAAAAAAAGGAAAAGAAAAGGTTTATCAAAAGGTATCAAGCTCTCAAAGGACTCCGCCCCTCCAAAGACTCTTAAGTTAATAATTTTTACTGCTATTAAGGAGCACTGTGTTTTCAAACACAGATGCAATCAATCTTCCCAACAAACACATGAAGTGGGTATTATTAACTCTGTAGTTTTTACAAAGGCAATAAATAGGAAAGTTTAAAAACTTGAGATTACTACTAATCACCACCAAATGTCAAACAAATGCTGTTAACAGAGATCCTTTTCACTGAAAATATCTTTCAGTGTGAACACCCCAAATGCAAGAAAAGCTTCATTTAAGTACCTTGTACTTCTGTCTTAATTCTTCCGTGTCTTCTTTTTCCACTTCTAGGACACGGCGCCGTTCGGTAGCATCTTCGGCATAATCGAGCTTAATAAAATAAGATATAATTAGCCTTAATTCCTAAAGTATCCCCAATGAGCAATTTAAAAAGTCATTTGCACAAACTAGAGTACTGGATGAAAATAAAAAGCTCTGTATTTTGCTCAGTAACCTCTTGTTTTATTGTCACCTACAGAGAAAATAGCATGCAGAAAATTTCATTAATCCTTTCATGCTGGTGGTTCCCAACAGGCACATTTTTTTTTTTATGATAACAGACTTTAATTCAGTGGTCTATGTCAAAGAATTAGGAGTAAATGGAGAAAATATTTTAGCCAATGAAGATACCATAGATTACAGCTATACACATCTCTATAAGGACAAATCTTCTACCATAGCAAATATTTTAAGAGTTAAGCAACACTGCCTATTGAAATGAGTACCAGGGTATGTGGCATAACCCTGGGCAAACCACTGAATTTCTTTATGCCTCAATTATAACGGTTTTTATTTGCCACTTACCTACCTACCTCAATGGCAGCACTAAGTAAAAATGTAAAATATAATTTTAAATTTCCGAAGAAAAATATTAAAACTACATTCGATCTAATAAATGTATTCTTGCACTGGCATCTGAATTTGGAATTAATATCGATTTTAAATATTCCATAAAACAAGTGAGCTTATGAGATTAGTTTACCTCCATTTCCATGCGACCCATGCCCATGACATCATACTTGAAAACAATTGGAATGGGATCTGTTCTCCCTGTAACAGGAACACATAATCAAGGTAAGATGCAAAGCTAAGCCAAGCCAAAAGCTCACTTTACACATTGGGTTTGGGTGGTTAGAGATCTTGCCTTGGAGTGCAGAGACCAGAAAGCTACAGTGAACCAAACACAAGCCATTCTCACAGCTTACAACCAAACCTACCTCTCCCAGTTTAAGCCCAATTAACCACCTTAATTGTCCTTCCAGTGAGAATAATTCCAGATTAGTATGACGAAATTATGTAATGCAAAGCATTTCTAAGCAATGGCCCCAGGAGGTTTAAAATAACTTTTCATCAAGAATCATTTCACTCTTACTGTTCACTGACATCCTCCCATACACACTTTTAAAACTGGTAATAAATATTTCAACTGACATGCTTAAATCAAAAAAGCAGTTTCAAACATAATTCAGGAAAACTGTAATTGCAACTCGGTATGTTTAATATTTTTTGTTTTGTTTTCAAAAGATGGTGTACAGTTCAGCGGGGCTATGAAAAATTTAAATAAGCAGCAACAATTAGTTGCCCTTAGAAACAAAGTACAGTGTTTCTTTTGAACTGGTGAGCTGAGGTCCCATTTTCCAAAGTGGATTTAACACTGCCTGTGGTAATCAGTAAGCTGTGAAAAGGACTAGTTGCGAAGAAAATTGACTTTAATCTAGTCGATCTATGCTGAAGATTTTTAAAAAATGTATATTTAATCCACTCATAACCAGCCAAACAAAGCAAAATGGGGCAGACAAGCACTTTACTACCACAGCTGTTTTACATCACAACTTGCGCTGTTTATTGTGATGTAAGCCCACTGATAAGAGGACTTACCTTATCCGTTGTACACCTTTAGTGAAAAAACACAATGTTTACTTCCCTCATCATTTCACTCAGCCTGGTGTAAACAATTGTTTTTTTTAATTTTTTTGTTTTTGTTATACACACATGTATATTATACCTTTGGGCTAAAAGTTAAGTTTTGTCAGGCTAAATTTGAGGTATTACCAAAATCAAATTAAAAAAATAATAACAGATGCCATGATTATGACTAGGTTTGGTCCTGGACAAAAAAGAAGAAACTGTTTTCAAAGGGACCAGCAACCACTCGCACCTAGTTGCTCTATAACTGTGGGATTAGTTTTTAGTAAAAATAATAATAAAAACAAATTCAGAAGTTTACTTATCACCAATATCCCATTATGTTTTAAACAATAAGGAGATAATCAGAAATAATTATTATAGTGAAAAAAAGTTTAAGTAAATAAAGAGCCTCTAATGCCAGAAAAAAAGTTCTAAAATACAGCCTTCTTTTAGATACTATCAAAGACTGCCAGTTAAACAAAATGAAAATGCATTATTACCTTATGCCCAATGGTATAATAAATAAGCAGTGACTGCAATCTTTAGCAAAAGGACCAAATTAAGACAGGTTATAAAAATGACTTCCTAGGTGCAATATCACTTTCATAACGTCTCAATCAGGGATTTACTGGTAAAAACAAATGGTCCAATGAAAGAATTGAAAAAATAAATAACAAAGGAATTTACTTTTTTTGTTGTTTTGGTATCTTTTTTGGTCTGTCAGAATTTGTTATGCAAGAATCAAGAAAGTTTTGGTATAAATTCATTACCTCTGTAAACCCCTGTTTATAAACTCTGCATTAGTACTTTTGCCTTCTAAGGCAGTCAAAGTTTGTTTTAATTTATTTATAAATTGCAGTAGCAAGTGCTAGTGCCCATTACATTGTGGGGAAATCAAGTTTTTGACAGTATTAAAATTTAATGTTTTAACTGATTTTTTTTCACTTCTAACACAAACAGATACATCCCTTCTTAACATTACCCTTTAATGAACGAGGATCAGACAAGTTGCATAAGGAAAGGAAAGGAAAATGAAAAAGACCAAGCAGAAGGATGAAGGCTACAACAGAGAAAGTAAGCCTAACATATTGGTGCACTGATGACAAAAGGAGTATTCAGTCTGAAAATAAAAAATTACCACTGCTAAGTTTACCATCACCACAACAAGTCCAGGATCATAATGCTGTAAAAAAGAAACACCATTTGTTAGGCAGAAACCAATTAGGGTGGGAAACAGGCCTTCTAGCAGGCAGATGGGATGGGGTAAAGTAACAATTGGGCTTTGTCCCTCCCCCAATTTCAGCTGGGGACAGAGGAAGGGCACTTTGTGCTACAGCAGTTATTTTCATACTGGACCAGGGTGTGAGATTTTTGTGCTGCTACTTGAGAACATAAACAACCTCCTCTTTAATTATGCAGGGGCTGCGAGAAGGTGTTTCTTCAAAGTGAGAGAACTAGCTCTAGCTTCCAATTTCTCATTTAACTACTCATTTTGCTAAATCAGTATTCAGGGCCCAAGGCGGGACTTTTCTTTAAAGAAGTAATATCAAAGATCAGCTGGACAGTGATGAAGTCATCTGCTTCACTAAAAGAAAGCTAAGAGGATTTGAGGGGCAGGAGGGGAGTCATCAAGACCTTCCTAAAAAAAAAAAATATCTATATCTGTATCTACAGATATATAGATATATCTACAGATATAGATACATATATAGATACGAGTAAAAGGTCTGGAAAATAACCTTAGATCTTCAGTGCCTAGAAAACTATGTGCATTTGAGTTCTGCTATGAATGAGTAAAACTCTTGAATTAGTTTTCCTTAGAATTTGTTGTCTTTTTTTTTTCTTTTTGGTGCCGAAACCCGGGAATTTGTTGTCTTTTAATGAAGTCTTCTTCCCAGGCCTGCCAACATCTTTCTGCATACAACAAAGTCAAGCTTTGAATGAGACAAGGAACTCCAGAGAAAAGTGGCATCAAAAGGGCTATCAAATTTCAGTTAGTCCACTCAGAGGTGACTCACAGAAAAGAAAAAGGTTGGCTTTAAAAACAATCTGAAAGTGACATTACTGCCCAGGCCAAGTAGTAATTTCTTTCCATTAAGAGGTTCCAGACATACAGGAAGAAGTTATAGCATTAAAAAAAATCCCCTCAATTTATTCATTTGTGATCAATGATAAATCCTATCATAAAGAACACCACGGTGGAACACATGAATAACAACTCAGTGATGAATTTCAAAAGGTAGGTAGCAACTGAATGTTTGCTAATATGATATTCTCTAGAAAATTTAACTTCTTTTAAAAATAAATTGAACTCTCTATCCAGGTTCCCTATTTCTTGGTTTCTTTTGAAGGGGGCAAATATTTCTTAAAATCATTAAGAACATTTTGCTTATTTCACTCCAAAGAAGGGAACTTCAATCAAAATACTAAATACTTTCCTACAAAGAAATTGTCTTCCTCAGCCAAAGATCTATAGATGCTATGACTTTGATCTGGCCAACTAGAGAGGGGAAAGAAAAAAAGAAAGCATATCAAATCTAGAATGTGCCAATACTGAATTCATGTAATGAGGGAAAAACTGATACTCGTATTTTTAAATAAAAACTTTAAATATATATACACATATAAAATTATATTGTACACCTAGAACTAATACAATGTTGTATCTCAATAAAATTTTTTTGAAGAGAAAAAACTTTAAATCATGTTTTATTGACCAACGAGAATTGTACTTTCTCTATTTTAAAAGGCAGTTTTACTTCTACAGTGACAAAAATGCTAAATGTTCATATATGTATCTCTTGCTAAAATATAAAGGTATATGATTTATAACTGGAGAGTAAGGCCAAAATAAAAATCCTTTGATTGCCCTCTGTTTCTGAGAACCATCCCTCATGAATTAGTTTTTATTTTAAAACAGTTAAAGATATACCAATCTTCCAAAATTGGCCCCAAAGACCTGGGATGTAGAGAAATACTATTTTTTTTCTTTTGAGAAACACGACTCTTAAAGAGACAAAATCCAGGAATAGAACAACTGGGAAAAACATATTAAAGGACAACCAAAATCTGGTAATCACCTACACTGAAGGTACATGGCTTCCTATAGAAATAAATTAGAAATGAAGCTTCCAAAGTGATTAAAAACTGGTTGGATAGTCAACAGATGTAAGAACGTAATTTATCTCTACTGCCTTTCCACTTACTAAGATTCATTCAACAACAAATATTTATTACAAATATTTAATATTACCACTTTAAACTTCTGGCATGAGGAGAGGGAGAGAGACACAGAACATTTGTGGAGCCAATGCATACATGACTCGAAGGCTTAAAAATGTCTGAAATTGTCCTTTAAAGATGTTTAAAATTGTTTTTAAAGTCTAATCCTAATAAAGCAAAAGTATAAAAGCAACCAAATAAAGTAAATCTACTTCTAAAAGGCCATTAAATTGATAAAACTGAGCTAACATCTTTAAATCTATTTTTTTCTTACTTTAAGCGACTTAAATACATATGTGAAAATCAAGAGTAACACAAAACTAGGATGACTATTCTCTGACTTGCAAAACTATTAAAAATAGGTCTCTATAGTAAGCTATATGTTAGTGCATTTAAATATAATTTCATTTATTAAAATAGTGATTACATACAATTTTGAGAAACACTGAGTAAAAAAGGGTACATCTATGTCCAAAACAAAGCTTCACTTTTGCAAACTTCTCTTGAAACTGATAGTCTTCATAGCATAAAAACAATGATTACTTTTAGCATCACTGAGATAACTGTAACATAATATATGCTACCTCTCAATAAACATTAACTGAAAACACCAGGCACATTAATTATTCCCTACTTTAAAAAAAGGGGGGGGGGAAGAAAAAGAAAAAAAGAGACTTCCAACACAAAACAGAATTCAAATTTTCCAGTACTAAAAAACTAATTATATTCTTGCCATAGCCTATTTAGTGATCTATACAACAACTAGATTAATTTGATTTTCAAATACAGATGTTTTCTTTCTTTCTTTCTTTTTTTTATTGATTTCAGAGAGAGGAAGGGAAAGGGAGATAGAGATAGAATTCATGGGTTGATGCTCAACCACTGAGCAACGCCGGCTGGGCAAATATAGATGTTTTCTA